GTACTTGCGAATTTGCCCATAACTGAAAATAATCCTACCACTTCTGCATACATGGAGTGGTGAAAACTTCCCAGTTGAGGCAGAACAAGGTTGATTTGGTATTTGTTGGGACTTTATAGGATGTCAATACCATGACTAATGAGGAGAGGAACAGATGGTCAGGTACAGGTATATGGATATAGATATAGACACCCACACACGTATACACATCAACTCACATACTCAGTGACACACAGAAAAATGCCTGTCAGACAAGAGCAAGGCATGGAACAAAAACATGACTGAAGGTTATGTCTACAAGTGCTATCTATTCATTCATTTTCTTTATAATTTTTTTGTACTTTCTAAATGTCTTTTTTTTAACAAGAAAGATGTGTTCTTTCAGACAGCAGAGGGACTAATAGTACAGAAATCTGGCGGCGGGTGGGGGCAGCACTGAAATCAGGCAGCAGGTGGGCGCTCTGGCTCTGCGCAGACCCCTCCCACAGGGAGCCCCGCCGCCCTCTGTACCTCTCTCCGCTGTGATGCTCCATCCACGTCCCATACTGACTGTCGGCTTCTTGCACGAGGGTGTCGGTGTCCTTGGCCTCAGGTGCCCGCCTAGAAAAACAGTGCTTCAGCTGGTCCTGCAAAGACAAAGCGAGGAGAGATGTCTACGGGGGCAGCGCTCAGAACACCGTGGCGGTCACACAGAGGACCAGCCAGCTCTGTTCAAACCTGCCCCAGCTCCCCACTGTCCTCAGACCCAAAAACAACTCAACCTATGCACGGAGTTGATCCAGACTCCTGGTGACCCCACGTGCCACAGGGCAGAACGGTTCCACAGGGATTTCTTGGCTATGATCCTTATGGGAGCAGACTGCCAGGCCTTTCCACCGTGGTACCTCTGGGTGGTTGCCAGCCAATCACAAACCACTTCTGCCACCCAAGCAACTACTGTCCTTCTTGAAAATAAAATTCAAAAAAAAAAAAAAATTCACTGCCATTGAGTCTACCCCAGTTCATAGCAACCCCCATTGGGTTTCCAAGGCAGTAAATCTTTATAGAAGTAGATTGCCCCATTTTCCTTCCACAGAGCAGTTTGTGGGTTTAAACCATGAACCTTCTGGTTAGTAGTGAAGTACCTTAGGCACTGCGCCACCAGTGCAGGGAGCAGTGTATGTACCTCCCAGCGGCCAGGCAGCACTCCTTGTCTCGGCTTGGCCCACCCTTGGCCAAGCAAGCTGTGTGGTCAGGCAGAGGGAACAAGCACCTCAAAGCTGTCACCTCCCTACCTGTGGCAGACAAGTTACCAGCATCCAGGTGCTCACCCCAGGGTCACTGGTGCCAAGTGAGATGACCACAAGACAGCTCCCAGTACAGGGCCTGGCACTCAGAAAGCACCCCAGCAACGCCTGCCTCCTTTCCCAGTCTCTTTCCCCCACCCTTTGGGGGAACACATCACGTAACCTATGGCACTCAAGGAGATGCTGTGACCGAGGTATACGAATGGGCGGTCACCTCTGGCAGACGGCCACTTTCACAGACCCTAACAACAGCTGCTCTACCACCCATCTGTCAGGTTGCCGTACTGTGGTGGTTTGCGTGTTGCTATGACGTTGGACGTTATGCCACTGGTATTTCAAATACCAACAGGGTCACCCAGGACAGACAGGTTTCAGGGGAGCTTCCAGACAAAGACAGACTAGGAAGAAATGCCTGGTGATCTGCTTCTGAAAACTGGCCAGTGGAAACCGTATGGACCCTAACAGAGCACTGTCTGACATAGGGCTGGGAGGTGAGCCCCTGCGCTGGAAGGCCCTCAGAATACACAGTGGCCCCAACAGTGGGCTGGGCCATGCCAGCGATCGTGAGGATGGGGCAGCCCCGGGCAGTGTTTCTGTCTGTTGTCTGTGGGGTCGCCCTGAGTCAGTGCAGACTCAACAACAACTAACAACACTCACTATCCAAACGTCCCTTTCTAAGTGATGAAAATAATGCATGTTCCTCATAAAACATTTCAAAATTAGAGGAAAGCACAAAGAGTAACATTTGAAAATAGCCCATCACCCAACCACGATATTCTGGCCTGGACCTATCTAGCACTTTCTTCCCTGGTCAAAAGCCTTCGACTATGGGATGCTCTTCCATGGCCAAGGAGTGTTCCCCTGGACGGACACAGCATGGTCCACTTACCAATCCCCAGTGTCGGACGTTGAGGTGGCTGACTTTTTTTTTTCACTATTATAATCAGCAATATGGTATGAGCACCCTTGAGGCTACATCAACACATCTCTGCAATTACTCCCATAGGAGAGATTCCTCTGCATCACCAGGTCAAAGGGTAGGAGGTCCAAGGCTTTGAATCTGGAAGAGCAGACCAGTCTCGGGACAGGCCGCCCGATTTCCAGCCCAACGAGGGGGACAGAGGGTGGCTCTTTGCATGCTTTGGAGATGAAGTCAGTTCCCATTTGAGGAAACATCTTTCTTCCCTCCCTCCTTTCCTCACTCCCTCCCACCTCCCTTCCTTTCTTCCTCTTCCTCTCTTCCCTCCCTTTCATTATACCCATCCATCCATCATTGTCAAGGGCACCTGACATGGTAAAACACCTGGCACCCATAACAGGACCCCTGCGACCCAGAACGTGGTCATCTGAGTACAGTCCCAGTTGCTCATGGTTCTCAAAGATATGACAGAATCAGCCATTCCCTAACGTAATCCCTTTCTGGGGTCAGACAAGGAGCTCTGGTGGCACAGTGGTTAAAGCATTCGGCTGCTAATTTAATTCAGAGACTTGAGCCCACCAGCTGCCCCACAGGAGAAAGAGGGGGCAGTCTGCTTTTATAAAGATCTACAGCCTTGGAAACCCTACGAGGTAGTTCTCCTCTGCCCCATAGGGTCACTGTGAGTTGGATGGACTTGATGGCCGTGTGTTCTGGCCTAGAGGGTCAGACTCCAAGGCAGTGGTTAGGGCCTTAGGGATTGCATCTGATAGACCTGACGTCATTGTCACAGTAGTATGGAGATGGCTGCCCAACCTGTCCCCAGTGGCAGAGGGAAAAAAAACAGCTGCCATCGAGTTAGGTCCCTGGGTGGTTCAGTTTATGCCACTAACCCAAAGGTTGGCAGTTTGAACCCAGCCAGTGGCACTGCAGAAGATAGGGCTGATGCCCTGCTTCTGTAAAGATGACAGCCAAGACCTCGTGGAGCACGGGTCTGCCCTGACATATGTGGTCGCCATGAGTCAGACTCAACTCAAGAGTCTCGGGTTTGGTTTTGGTTCCGTTTTGCCGTCGAGTGGACTCTGACTCACACCGTCAGAGCAGCTGTGCTCCACACGGCTGTCAACGCCTGATTTTGGAAGCAGGCTGCCAGGCCTTTCTTCTGGGGGGATTCGAACCTCCAGTCTTTGGGTTAGCAGCAGAGCGTGTTAACTGGCCTGTCCTCAGTGTGTGCTGAGTGGGAGGAAGAGGCTTGGGGCCAGCTTACCTCTTGAGGGTGGGGTGGGGCTAAGACCCCTCTCTGCTCCTCCTCCCCCGCTGTGTGGTCCGGGCAAGGGACTCCACCCATCCAAGCCTCAGTTTCCCATGGGTGTTCTGAGGCCTTGAGTGCCCGGGAGACGTGAGCTGCCTGGTGGGATCCACTCCCATGACCCCCCACCCCCAATCAGGCAGAGGCAGGCAGTCTCAGCCAGGCATGACCCTTCCTGGTTCCTCAAACACCCTGTGAGACAAGAAGCCCTCTCAGTGCTGAGCTACGGGAGGAGTTTGTGGGTGAGGCCTCTGGGAGGAGTTTGTGGGTGAGGTCTCTGGAAATCACAATGGCAAGTCCCGCAGGATTCTGCGTGAGCACTCAGGGCGTGAGGCAGGGGAGATGCCTCTTCACCTCCTTTGATGGTCCTGAGGGTAAATGGTGTCCCCACAATACACTGGCTCCATCCGCCTATTTGTGGGTTCTCCCCACAGGGGTCTGGGACCCAAGTTAAGGAATCTGAAGTACCCACGGGCATGGATGGGTCTTCTCCCTCTAAAGCCTAACCCTGAGGCGGTGTCCCTGGCACCCTCTCAGCCTCACCCCCACACCCCATGGACCCTCAAGTCCTTGAAGTCTCCTTCTGGAACATTCGTCCAGCCTCAGCCAGATCTCTGTCCGAGACTTCTTGCCTCCCTCACCCTCCACAACCTCCATTCCTCTTTCCAAAGAGGTCTGAGCTGTAAGTTCCCTCCGATGTCTCTGCTTGGCCATCAGGGTGTGGGCCAAACACCTGGAGGACAGCCTGTGGCGGCGTATCTTCATGGGGGGCTGCTGGGCCACACAGCTCCTTTGGGACCATTTCCCTGCTCCAGAGGCCCCCCCACATTCCGTCAGTCTCCCCTCTGCTCCCCAGTCCCTCTCAGTGGCTGCCCCAGCCCCACTTTCTTCCCCTGCACCCCTTAGTCCACTGAACTGCCCCTCCATTCCTTCTCCTTGTTGTCACTCAGATTTCAGCATCGATGGCTATTCCACCAGGAAGCCTTCCCTGAACCACTCAGGGTTGGCCCACAGTCCCCAGGTTCCCAACATCCCCTACACAAGTGCTGTCCCATATGGTGAATTCCAGTCACACATGAGGAATCCCTAGGTGCTTGACTATTACCCAAAAGGATGGCAGTTCAAATCCATCCAGAGGCAGCTCAGAAGGCCTCGCAAACTGCTTCTGAAAGGTCACCGCCGTGAAAATAATATGGAGCAGGTCCACTCTGCCCACATTCGGTCCCCATGAGTCAGATCAACAGCAACTAACAACAGTCCCATGGGGCTACTTAACTTTAATTGAAATTAACTCAAATCAAGTAATATTAAGAATTCTGTTCAAAGTTGCACTAGCCACATTCCACTGCCACCTATGTTGTTGTTGTTAGGTGCTGCCGAGTCACCTCCGATTCATGTAGTGACCTTATGCACAGCAGATCGAAATACCGCCCGGTCCTGCGCCAGCTCCATGATCCTTGCTATACTTGAGCGCATCGCCGCAGCCACTGTGTCAATCCATCTTGTTAAGGGCCTTCCCCTCTTTCGTCGACCCTCCACCTTATCAAGCATGACATCCTTCTCCAGGGAATGGCTCCTTCTGACAACATGACCAAAGTAGGTGAGATGAAGTCCGGCCATTCTCGCCTCCAAGGAGCATCTCAGCTGCACTTCCTCCAGGACAGACCTGTTAGTTCTTGTAGCAGTCCATGGTACGTTCAGCATTCCTTCATCCAACACCACAGCTCAAAAGCATCAACTCTGCTTCAGTCTTCCTTATTCATTGTCCACCTCTCACGCATATGAGGCGATTGAAAATACCATGGCTTCTGTCAGGTGCACCTTAGTCCTCAAGGAGACATCTTTGCTCTTCAGCACTTGAAAGTGGTCCTTTGCAGCCGACTTGCCCAGTGCTATACGTCATCTGATGTCCTGACTGCTGCTTCCATTGGTGTCGATTGTAGAACCAAGTAATGTGAAGTCTTTGACAAGTTTAATCTTTTCTCCATTTATTGTAATGTTGCTTATAGGACCAGTTGTGAGGACTTTTGTTTTCTTTATATTGAGATGTAATCCATACTGCAGACTATATTCTTCAATTGTCATCAGTAAGTACTTCAAGTCATCCTCACTGTC